AGGGAGGTACCGTTATATGGGGGCTATATGAAGACGTGGACCTGCACAGACAATTTTCTGTCTTAGGGTGTAGTATCCATTTTGAACTTCAAATACCAAATTTGAAAAAATTCCTGTGAATGATGTCGCTAAAATCATCAAAATACCGAATATCGGGAGGTACCGTTATATGGGGGCTATACGAAGACGTGGACCTGCACAGACAATTTTCCGTCTTAGGGTGTAGTATCCATTTTGAACTTCAAATACCAAATTTGAAACAATTCCGGTGAATAATGTCGCTAAAATCATCAAAATACCGAATATAGGGAGGTACCGCTAAATCGACTTAGAATTTTACGCTGATAAAGAATATATATACTTTGTTGGGTCTGATAAGAGAATTTCGAGGAGTTACAAACGGAATGACAAAGTTAATATACCCTCCATAGTATGGTGGAGGGTATAATAACGTACAAAGGACATTCATTCGATTTAAAAGCAATGAATATCCTGTATTATTTTTAAGTATTTCGAGCAACACCAAAAATAATTACTGGCAAAATCCTGCAGATTATGAAAGTAGTGCTGAATATAGAACTATCGGTGTTTTAAAAATTTACATCGTAAGTAACGTAAATAGAGGGGGCAAGTTCTCCCTCTTTCACATTTTTTGAAAATTTCGGATGAAAATTCCTTGAAATCCGTTGCTTGTGGGCAAATAGTATCTTCGGCAATATTGCTGTTAAAAACACGAGGATTACTTTGGTCCATAATTTTAAAATTAAAATATGGCTCGAGAGGATATATATAATTTGATACGGCTAAAACGTGCCTCATCGAAATAACGGTTTTAGATCCTTGGCCAAATCTGTTTCAGGACATTTGGAGTCGATCTAGCGATCCGTCCGTCTTTCTGGCCGATGCGCACGATAATTTCAAAGGGAGTATCCCGTTCGGTCCAAACTTGGTACATCGTACTATTATTATCAAACTTAGATCGGCTTCGGAGATGGTCAATATCGGTCCACTTCTTCTGGTAAATAAAAGTAAAAAAAGAGAAAGAATAATCCGATTTTGCTCCAACATTGCAAATCCTAATATTTGCATCAGTGCTAGATCTGGTGCGAAAATGAACAATATCGATTAACACCATCAAGTACCTCCCCCACAAAGTTTAAAAAAATTTTGAATAATTATAACTCTTATAAAATGTGATGAAAGTATCCGATAGTCTTCAAATAACACACATCACAATATTTTTATTAACCCAAGGTCTGTGTGAAAATGGAATATATCGTGCCATTCCTTTTAGTATCTCCCCCACAAAGGGTCAAAATTTTGAATATTTATGAAGCTCATAAAACGCGAAAATAACATCAGATTCCATTCAAACTTGGCACATCTCAGTATTTCCGTCAACACAAGATCTGTTATAAAGATGGTAAAGATTGGATCATTCCTTCTGGTACCTCCCACACAAAGGGTCAAAGTTTTAAATAACCAAAACGATCATAAAATCCGAAATAAGCATCCGGTTCTTATCATATTTCATAGATCTCAACATTTTCGATAAGAGAAGATCTGTTATGAAGATTGTAGAGATCGAACCATTCCTTCTGGTACCTCCCCCACAAAGGCTCAACATATTTTTATCTGTATTAGGTGAAGTATGAAAATGGAATACTTCGGTCTACATCTGTCGGTAAAACCGGCTGAAACTTTTTGACTTCCATATTTCCATTCGAGGTAGACGTCAAAAGTCTAAATCATACCTAAACGCCAGGAATTCACACTTTATTTTAATTTATGAAAATATCTCCGACAAAAAATCATTTTAGAATGACGTCAAGCAAAAAGAAATCTCAATTTCCATTATGTATCAAAAAATATTTAAATAAATGTTCCAAAAAATATTTCTTCTGATTTTTTTTTTTTCAAGTAGACGACTGAAAATAACATAAAATGGCATTTAAGGCAGAAGGTGTAAAAAGAAGATGTAATCAACACAGAATTTCACTGTAAATCTCACAATAAACTATGTCTACCCCTAGATATAATAGTTTTAAAGACAATTGCATATTAAAAGTCAGCATTTTGTGTTTGTGAAATTTGTACCAAGAAAAATATCATCAATTTTTGTTAATTAAAAAATGCACCACAAATATTCTTATAATTACACTGTCCAATAGCAGTCAGATTTAAGAAAACTTCCAAGTGGATTTGATAGTACTTGTTTGTAGATCAAATCCCCAAAGAAGTGTCGGGTTCTTAGGCCAAACTTTCTTGAGGCCTTTATATGGATTTTACCATATACAACATATACAAAGGAACCACTATAGTTTGCGATATTTTTCGCAACATTTAAAATAGAGCTTTGATAATTGAAAGAGATCTTTAGTTTACGTCCAGAATACTTAGTAAAGAAAATGGGTAATATCTGTCCCCTTTTTGATATAGCTCCCATGTAAGGATAAAATCGATTTCTATTTTTATACCCTACACCACATAGTGGTAAGGGCATTATGTTTTTGTGCATTTGTTTGCAACATGGAGGAGGAAGCGAGATAGACCCAAAGTTACTTTTGAGGATCTTCCTAGAATCACTTTCTGAGTCGATTTATGAATGTCAGTCCGCCTGTCCATCCGTCTGAACATATATTTTTGTGAACACTCAATCCACAGAAATGAAATTTGGTTCCAGATATCAGATACAGCCCAGAAATACCCCCGCTACTTCCTCAGCGAAAATCTACCTTAAAATTTTTGATTCGTTCCAACATATCGTTTTAGTCTCAAAATTCACAATTTATTCAGTTTGGCAATATTTTTTAATCAAAATTTCAAACTTAGCTCTAAATTTTCAGACTTTCAAGGTTTTATATATTTTTCAAATTTTTCCTTTTTCGGAGAGAACAATAGGATAATGTTTACCTTTTACCCAAACCGTCTTCTAAAACTTTTATTTTGAAGTTTTCCATTGCACAATGGACCCACATCCTATAATTCTGTCTTAAACCAATAGTGTCCTAGAAACCAACAGTGTCCTCAACATCAAATTTCAGAATTTCAGCTCTATCTTTTCACCTAATACCAATTTTTACCGAATATAGTACTAATTAGTACTTTTCGTGCACTTGTAGTACACATTTTTAAAACCAACTCTTTATAACAAACATACCACTAACATGGAGCCCACTACCAACATTTCGAATTGCCTACTTCTTCCGCACATCCAAAACGAAATTGCACCAAATTTAGTGCCCTTTAGTACAGTTCTTGCACTTGGTACACATTTCCAAAACCACCTCCTCGCATCAACCCTATTTCCAAGAATTGATTCTCATACCAAATTTCAAGATTTTAGCACTATCCGTTCACACTATTATTCCATATGGGACCGAATTTATTACATACATTTTAGTAATTTTGGTACACGTATTGTTAGAACCCTTTTGTTTGTTTAGCCTAAACAACATCAACGACTCTTACACCAAAATTCAGACTTCCAACTCTATTATATAAATACTAAAGTTAATACTAATCGTACTTTTTAATACATATTTCCAAATCCCCTGCATGTATAACCAACCGCACAAAAAGCCAAATTAGACTTCCAATTCAATATCTTACCCAAAATCAAAAACCACCTCCAAATATCAACTCTACACACCAACAGTGATCCCAATGCCAAATTACATTTCCATTTACATTACCACCTCCTTATGTCAACCCTATTTTCAGACTTTATTCTCACACCAAATTTCAAGTTTTTAGCTCTATCCGTTGACATAATACCAAATGGTACTATTTTACAAATTTAGCACCATTTTGGAACTTTTCGCAGCTTTGAAGTTCGAATTTTCAAAAACAATTTGCTACTCTAGTCTATACTTCATCATTCCGTTTGTTCAATACAAAGTATTAAATTTTAGGATATTGCAAAACTTTTTATACCCTTTTCATACAAATTTCCAAAAGGCAGCCTTATCATACGCCTACACTTAAAGCCTTGCGGAATTTCAAGATTCCAGCTTCAGCCTCGTCTGATTCTCAGTCAGTTACTAATTTCCTTACTCCTTTATATATGATCTATGAGACGAAATCATATTGAAATTTATCGTGTAGGTCATGTCATGTATAACTTCTTAATATAAGATTGTTAATATCGTTGACCGGTCAGACACACATTTTCTTTTGTTAAAATGTCATCCATACCTATCGATCAAGTTTATCTACTCAATCGTTATCTGAGAACATTTTGTATTATTATTTTTAATAAGATTTATTTTTATAAAAACACCTTCGCCTAAAAGTATGCTAGTGTTCATTTAATTTCTCAGCATTACTTGCTAACGCAAGAATTAAGAAAATGTTGAAGAAACGTCGAAGGAGAACATTCGACACTACATTTCAACGGCAACGGCAACGGCTAACGGCATCCATTTTTGTAATAAATATCTCCAAATTGCCCAGGTTTTATGTGGGTCAAGACAAGTGTCGTTTGAAATAAAAATATGTATATGAATATAAATGTTTGTATGTATGTACATTAAAAATCAATTGGACAGCAAGGCATATACATTTAGACATAGCACTAATTTGTATGAAGAGTTAACTGGGATACTTTACTGCATTGGTCCGAATATTCAGGGAAAAATATTTTCCATAGATTTAGATTAGATTTGCAATAAAATTCTTATTACAATTATTCCCTAACAAATAATGGCACAAACACATTTGTAGAACAGTTGTTGAGGTATAATTGTTAATCGACTAATGCAGATATTGTTGACTGATAACATATTTGCCCATTAACTATTTGTGTAAATCTGACAAAAGCACAACAATACGAGAGTTATGATCGAATAATGATTCCATAGAAATGCGATACATAGGATTCCCTAACAAACAATTCCACATCATATTTTATAATGAAAAAACATGTATTATTTTGTAAGCTTTCAAAAAAATTGATCCATATGTTTTTAGCTGATAACATATTTTTTTCTATTACTCACCTGTGGGACTCTGATGAAAGCACCACAATACGGGTGTTGTGATCGAATAACGATTCCAACTGTTGTGTTATATAGAAATTTGATAAATGCGATACTTGGAATGTTGTTTCCAGCCCGTCTTCAGTAGTGGTATAAGGTAAAGCAAAAACCCCAGCATTTAAGATCAGCATATCAATGTGCCTGAAAGATGAAAGTATTTTTTTAAATGATCTACCAAATTCGACATAAAGAACTTACTTTACACTCTGTTTAACTTCTTCTACAAAGGAACACACAGACTTAAAAGAGCCCAAATCCAATGACATCCACCGCAAACGGCTGCGACAAGCAGCTCGATCCTTAGCAATACGTTCGATAGCTTCTTCGGTGGCAGAACGATTGCGACAAGCCATTATGACATCACAGCCATGAAATGCCAATGAACGTGTAGTCTCATAACCAATACCACTATTAGCTCCCGTCACTATGGCCAAACGACCATGCAGATCTTTGCCATGCAAAACTTGCAAAGCATTAGTGCTGCCATCAAAACGCTGCCGTACTTGTGATATATTCATAGGTGGTTCTTCCAAGGCAAATGCCAAACGTGGATCCATATAAGTTGTTTGTTGTGTAGTGGTATTAAAAAATACTGTCCTTTGTGTTCCCTCTTCGAAACGTTTCTCCCAACCTAGTGGCAATTCCAATGTCATGCGCTTTGATCGTCCTGTGCGTGGATGTGTCATCTGGGCTACTTTTGTTTGTTTGCTGGAAAAGTGTTATTTTAAACAAATGGGTTAAAATGAATTAAAGTTGTTGAGTTATAGAAAAGCTTTATGGACCGGATTATGAAAATTTGTGAAAGGAATTAATTCCCATAGAGAGTCATTCTAAAGTGCGCAGCAACAATCGATCTCGATAGGATGTAAAAGTGAACAGCTTTTGTCAATGAGAGATGGCCTCCAATAATAATGTAATAATAATTCAAATCTTGAGAATTCGAACGCCATAAGCTGTCGTCCTTGGACGGTCTGGAACACAAGCCTACACTTCAAAAGCGAGCAAGCTTTATCCTTTACTCGCTTTTGAAGAGTAGGCTTGGCCGACGTACTGACCATAATGATTAGCCGACGTACTGACCAAAATGCTTTAAGAAACCAAAATTAAGATTTTTTAAACACACTTTTTCAGCATTGCAGCGCAGAATATTAAAGTTGAAATATGATAAGAGTTACATATTAATGCTGATCTTACTTTATATAACAAACGTAGCCATTTTCCGTAGCCTGTTCCTCCCATCCTGGTGGCAGTTCATCTTCACTATCAGAGTCTGGTAGAAAACCTTATAGAATAAGAATAAAATAAAAATTCAATTTTCTGTCATTTGGAAAAAAATTAAAATTTACTTACTCATATCTCAAACGAACTTTACTCTTTAGTTTGGAAAAACAACAAACTGTTCAAAAGCAGGTGAAAAATGAATGAATTCGCAAGGTGTTTACTTATTTATTTTATTATTTACCCCCTTTACTGCAACCGGCTTTTATTTATTGTGTTTTGTTGTATGGCATTGACTTAACAATTGCTTATTTTCATTTGATTGGCTAGGAGAGAACACCATCAGATGTTTGTTCTTTCTCTCTCTGTGTGAAACACAGCTGACAACTGTTTGAATAAAACAACGATTATTGGATGACGTGACGTGCGATAATAGCAATAAGTATAAACACCGTTAATATTGGCGATATCATGGAAATATTATACAAAATACTCATAATTTAATTGATGACGAGAAGAATGCGGTTCTAGAATAGAAAATGTATCATTTTTTGTTCACCAATAAAGTGACCTGTAGTAGGATTATTCAACGTATTTTTTTGGTTACCTACAAATACCGGTAAAATTAAAATGCAAAATTATGAAAAAAAATCCAAATTAAGTGTTACCATTAGCGATTTTGAACAAGAGATTACCTTGTTAATTTTGTAATGGGAGAACCATGTGGTCTGTTCCAGAAATGCAAGAAGGTAAAAGTTTTTTACTACGACAACCGATTTCCCTTTTGGATATCGAAGAAAATTGCAAAACTAGTATATTCTTGTAGGTAGTGGAACAGAGCAATGGTTTAATGAACAGACAAGGTAAATTACAAAAAAAGCAGAAATGGAATGATCATTTGAAATGGATTTACCTTCTTAATTTTACCATTAATGCAATATAATCTCAATGTAATCAAATGAAATAAAAAACAAGTAAAAAACATTAACTTCGGACCGGGCCGAACTTTAAATACACTCCATTTTTATATAAAAGTATGTGAAATCAAACATGATCCACTTTCAACTACAAATACCAGTGAAACCATTTGGATAATGTTTCATGAGTAAATGGGACCAGAATTATCGGAGTTAGAACCCATTGCGAACTACAAATACCCATTTTTAGACAAATCCATGGAAAAAAATCATCAAGATACTGAATATCCGGAATTATCATTATGTGGGGCTATATGAAAACGTGGATCTATATATACTGAAGCGACTCGGTCAAAACCCGCGTCGCAGTGGACGAAAAAAGGTTCGTGAACTGAACATTTCGCAATATTCCATTCGGCAAATATTGAAAAATGAGCTCGGGGTAAAGCCATTGAAATTCCAAAAAGTGCAAAAAATTACACCGCAACCGAAAGAAAATAGACTCAAAAGAGCTAAAGAGTTGCTTCGCTTGGCCGAAAGTGGTGAACTGCCGTATCGAATTTGGCTTTCTTCGATGAGGAAACATTCGTTGTCCAGCAGTTAGTAAACAAACAAAATGATCGTGTTTACTTGCCAAAGAGGTCAGCTGATAACAGCCGATGGTCGCTCTCCGCTCGTATTAATCGACCGTGGCATCAGAATAAATGCCGAATATTATCGCGAAAATATTCTAGAGGGTGTATTAAAGCCTCGGGCATGGCATCACTTTGGCCCACTCAGCTCGCGCCACCCAAGAATGGTTACAAAATGAGGTTCCTCACTTCATTTCCAGCGCTAAATGGCCACCAAAATCTCCAGATACCAATCCGTTGAACTATTGTGTCTGGAGTATTCTGGAAAGCAAGGTTGGCACTAAAAAAGTGTCGATCAAGCAAGCACTTCACCGGGAAGTGGCGAAAATACCGCAGAGCAACATTCGGGCAGCTTGTTTAATTTAATGTCATTAAAATTTAAAAAAAAATGTAAAAATTATGACGTTTGACTTTGTTGTAATTTTTTTTATCTCACCCGGTATGTATAAAACTGCTACAGACAATAAGGGTTTATGTATGTGCTGTCACTTTTATTATCCATGTGAATTTCCGTGTTTTCTGTCAAAATTGCCATTTTACATATCACTCATAATTCTTACTATCACACACTTGCATGTTTATTATTGTTTTCTTTGGTTATATTGTGATTTAATTGTATTTTCTAAAAAAATATATTATAATTTAACATATTTTCCCACAATACACAAACAACACTTTTGATTAAATTATGTTTTTCCAATAAAAATAGGGCACGCTGTGATCGAAAACGTATACATGTACTTTACTCATGTATTTCCCCACTGAAATGTTGTCCATATATCACACGATGTGTGCAACTTTTACAAAACGAAAATTTGACACTACATCTGTTGAAAACATATCGTCTAATGGAGCATTAAGCAATGAAATTGCCAATTCAAATCCAAGTGCATTTACTGTAATTGGAAGGTTTCTATGGCCTTTTATTAATAGCAACATGAAAGAAACTTCAGTGTGCATGTCTACATTAGGTCTTTTGTCCGGTTTGAATTTTCCCAGTTTTCAATTGGAACACATTGCTCTTTGCAAAAAAATTATAGTCTTATTTAATGTTTATTAAACTTTGTAAAAAATATCTTAGAGACACGGGAATAGGCTAAGAGTCTATATAATTACATATATAATATATAACACCTAAGAAAAAATAAAATTACTGAACAATCCCTCCGATTATTCTTAAAATCTAGACACAGTTATATTCAAATATAGCACCAGTCCTTTATTCTCTACAATTCTGGTTTATTTATGATACCATAGAACAGTGGCAATTTACTGTGATCATGTCGTATCAATATTAGGAACGGAGTATCGCCACGGAATACAACATCGGTGCCGGAACGATATAAATATGCTGCGGTGGCAGCTGCAGCCTCTGTACCTTGCTCGTCTACGGCAAAGTCTACTTTGTGTATTATTTCATTAACAAAGAGATCCGAATGATAGCCATTGTAAGTGAAACGTTGTGCTTCCAGATTAGATAATGCTTGAAGATTCGCATCATTAGGAGCTTGTCTTTTTTCAATGGCATGTGCCGGAGTGGTGTCTTCAATTGTTTGCATAGCTGGCATTTCTGTGGTTGCAGTTGTACTATTACCTTGCTCCTCTTCCTCTTCACCAAATCGACTTGAGAATATTAACGGTTTTTCATTGTATCTATCGTAATATTGTTGGTTGACAGCTGCCAGACCTTTACGTGCGGGAACGGTTGGAGTCTGAGCCACAGGTGTGGGCACTGGAGAAAATATTGGTCTTCTGCCATTGTTGGCCATATTTCTTCCACCAATCAGTGATAAATCACTCAAGCCGGGATTGAATACATCAGTCACACCCATTGCTGGCAGGATGTCATTCAGGGTCATGGTGCGGGCAAAATGCATTTTGGGGAACACCATGACTGTGGTTTTCAGCATCATCTTATCAATCATATCGTTAATTTTGCGGGCATCCAAGACACTCATTAATCCACGTAATTTCAGACGAGTCGAGTCATTCGGTTGAATAACATACATGGTAGTTTCATTGCCCTTATATGGCAACCCTAGAATACGGCAATCATACTCCTTGGCATCATAAAATGGAAAGATACCACCAGTAGCCATTAGCTGGACACGAATGGGTTTTGTGTTTGGACCATCCTGATAGAAATTATCCTCTTTTGTGGAACGCTGGAAGAATGGTGTCTGCCAAAAGCCTCTAAAGTACAAAGTACTGGCAAGAATTATGTTCGTTACCGAGGGTATATTTCGTGAAATCAATTCGGGTATTTTTCCATTGGTATTGTCATTTGACCATTTATTGATGTACTTTGTAGCTTCGCGGGATTTTGTCTTATAGTCAAGTTGCGCCAAATGTGAATCGTAAATGGAACCAATGACTTGTCTGAAAGAAGAGAGAGAAAATGAGAATATTTCAATTGTTAATTAAAAAAAAGGTATGGCTTATGATAAAAGGAAATATTCGACATGAGATTTACATGTTGGGCGCCATGGCCTACATAAGGTCAACCAGTAAGCCCATCTGACAACTAAGTTGGTAGTTAAAAGACATAATTGTGATTTAAAAATTCAAAGAGAGTCAAATCACAATAATGCAAAAACTACTGAATTTATTCTGAAATTGTTGTCAAAAGTAGTCTTCTTGGGCGCCATTAAAAGAATCTTAAGGTGAAAGACAATACACAAAACGCTTTTCTAACTGGCTTAAGTCATGGGCTGGCTTCTTCGGAAAAGATTAAGAAGCCAAAATCAAACTAAGTGAATCTAAAACTCCTTTATTCCTCTACGAAGAAGCCAGCCGATGACTTAAGCCAGTCAAAAAAGCGTTTTATGTATTCTCACCTTTAGATTTATTGATATTCAAAAGTTGAAACCTTGCCCTACGTATAGCTTTTATATTCCTCTTTTCAGATTCGATTCATTTATTAAATTCCCAATTGTAATTCGTTGCATTCTCCCCGGAAATACCCGCATGGAGGAATAAATGGCAGAAGCCTTTTGCACAATCATTTGGTTTTTCCCTCTCCCACAAACAACAAGTGACTCAACAATTATTCCATCTAATATTATAATTATTTGTGATGATTTTGTCGCCACTCATCAGACGGAAGCCCATTATTGTTTTTGACACATTCTGCTCATGTCCACAACAAAACTAAAAATATCATAGAAATTATAATTTTAAACAATATTCTTTTTGTTCTTCCATTTTAAATGAAGTAATTAACAATAACGTGAGATCAGACTGTTGTTATTACGCTGATCAAAATAATTTGTAATTATTGTATTGGTACCGCTGATTTGATTGAGTGATTGAACCGAACACAAGTGACAAATATTAATTGAATTTAAAAACGCTCCAAAAACTTTATAGAATCAATTTATCCTCAGGTCCATTCAGATTTTACAAAAATCGATTTAAGGGCTAATTTACACATAAATTAGACGTTTTTCGAAGATAGGTCTTTTTATTGACGTTTATTTGATTTATTTATTATTTGATTTATGAAATTCATTTATTTTATTTATGAAATTAACATTTCAAATAACGTATTTTATTAAAATATATTCCGTATAAATAAGGCTTAATGTCATCAGCGATGATAAGAATAATTATTCCAAATTGTGAACCTTATATTTATATGAGATATATACAGGGTGAGATAAAAAAAACTGCTACAAAGTCAAACGCCATAATTTTTAAATTTTTTTAATTTTATTGAATGAAAGCAAGAAATGTCGGAAATAGCATCAATTTTAGAATATGTTTAGATTTGTTCGAATTAGTCACCTTTGGCACGAATTATGGCCTCAAACGGCCAAAGAAACCGTCACACGCTGCCCGAATGTTGCTCTGCTTTATTTTGGTCAATTTTGCACCAAATGGACAATACAAGTCCAAATTTAAAAGATACAAATGCTTCGGCATATTTAGTCCTTTGAATTTTAAATTATAATCTCCCATAAAATGAATTCTCCCATAAAAAACTTTTAATTGTTATGTGGAGCTCAACTAAATTAGCAAAGTGGTGTAGGGTATAATAAAATCGGCCCCGTCCGACTTTAGGACTTTCTTTAGTGTTTTTTTTTTTTTTTTGTTATTGTTCAAATGCAAAATTTAAAGAACTCCTTGTTTCGCGGGTTTTTCTCAATTTAAAAAAAAAAATTAAAAATAAACAAAGCTAACTGTTGCATATTTAAAAGTCTATTTGACACTATAAGGCTCCAGCACAGAGTTGCATTTATCTAGTTTCTTTGAAGTTGAACAACCTTTCTTTTTGAGCCATGGGTTAATCCAGAAAAAAATTGTATACAAGCGCGCTATCGAAATCCAGGGGAGTTCAATAAGATTTGCCTATGTAAACATGCTTTCATAAAACAAATTAATTATTTCGAAACTTGTTTGACTTCTAGTAAATAAAAAACACGAACTGATCTTTTCCCAAATAAATGTATGAGGACTCGAATCAAACACTTACCTATAATCTGGATTTAACGTATAGCCCTCCTGAACAAACAAACCATTCGCAACATTAATCGTGTGATTTATTTGCTCCGTTTTACGATTGCTGGCGGTCTCTCTAACGTTCTTCTTGGCGGCGGTATAAAACCAATTGGGACGCTTTCTCGTATTCGCGTCCCTTCCGGTGTTCACATCAAAGTTTTGCATATCATCTATCATTGAGCCGAATATTTGATGGAATTTTCCGGGATTTGTATTAAATTCTGGTATGTTTTCAAGGCCGAGAACTGCTTTCAATTCCTGATAACTTTTGCCCTTGGCTCCGAGCATAAGCAGTGATAGAGCAGACATTAACGAAAGCGGTGAAAATATTTCGCTGCGTGTAGCGTAGGGATCCATGTAGCTTAATTGTTGGAGCATATTGTGACCGAATTGTAGGGCATTTTCAGCTATCATATCGGCTGTGGAATAGCCAGGGGCCGTCGTAGATGCGGCTCCCGGTGGCGGCGGTGGTGGTGGGGAGTTGACGGTTGAAAATATGAAATTGGGTGAATCGGTGCCCTGTGGCGGTTGCGAATTTGTTAATTGTGCCGATCCCGATCCCATATTTAGAGGATTTGCGATCATTTGAGAAATCAAGTCATCTCCTGCTACCAAAGTTGCAATTGCCAAAACCACCAACAATGTGGGTGCCGACAACTGCCAGATATTTAAAATTCCCATCACAAGCTGTTTGTATGCTTATCCAAAAAAGCAAAACACTGGGAGAAGATTTCTTTTTATAGAACCGCACACTCTGTTTACTACAAACAAACGCGATTGCAAAACTAGATTTCCAAACAACAAAAAACGAAGAGATGTTCAAATGCTGCTGGTTCTGGCCAATCGGGTTTTATTGAGTTTTAATTGACGTATTTTTTTTTTTTTTTTTTTTGTCACTTGGCGTTCTATATTTTTTTATAATCTTTCTTTTTTATTATAATTAGTAGAAGTAGGTATGAACTATGTTCGTTTGTTTGTGTGTTTGTATGTTGCTCTTCTTTCAATTTCGATCGTGGCGATCTTACATTTGCATCACTCACACAGAAGCGGTATCGCACAAAACCCGTCTTTAACACTTAAAGCGATCCAAACAAACTGATCGTTCAGTAAACTAAGCTTTGCAATTTAGCTGGTCTTTAAAATAACGTTCTCTCTCAAAATTGCTGCGTATCTTCGTCTTTTTTTTCGGATCAATCCATAGAGAGTAGAGATGGCAAAAATGAAAAATTGTACGAAAAGGGAAAATATTTGGGGAACGGATGCAAATAGTATTCAATTCGTTACTATAGCTTCTGATAGAAAATTTAAAATATCCAAAAATGTAACAGGGGATTATTAAAAGTAACAAGTAAAAAAGCAGTAAGTTGGGCCGGGCCGAATTTTGAATACCCTCCACCATTTGGAACGAATTAGAAAATATTCAAAAAAATAAAATCCATTGAAAATTCTGTTAAAATCTTTAAAATACCTAATATCGGAAGGTGCCGATATATGGGGGATATACGCTATTGAGGACCTATATAGACAAATCTATGTCTGGGGGTAAAGTACTCACAAGGAACTCCTTGTGTGGATTTTCAGATAATACCATTGGGAAATGTGGCTAAAATCCTCAAAATCCCGAATATCGGGGGTACCGTTATATGGGGGATATACGATATTGTGGACCTATATAGACAAATACCTTTCAGGGGTTAAAGTGCTCACAAAGAAATCCTTGTGTGGATTTTCAGAGAATGCCATTGGAATATATAGCTAAAATCATCTAAATAACGAATAACGGGGGTACCGTTATATGGGGGCTATACGATATCGTTAACCTATACAGAGAACTCTATGTCAGGGGGTAAAGTGCTCACAAAGAACCCCTTGTGTGGAATTTCAGACAATTCCGTTGAAAAATGTGGCTGAAATCGTCAAAATACCGAATATCAGAGGGTACCGTTATATGGGGGATATACGATATCGTGGACCTATACAGACAACTCTCTTTCAGGGAGTAAAGTACTCACAAAGAACTCCTTGTGTGGATTATCAGACAATTCCATTGAAAAATGTGGATAAAATCATCAAAATACCAAATATCGGGGGTACCGTTATATGGGGGCTATACGATATCGTGGACCTATATAGATAATTCTCTGCCGAGGTATAAAGTACCCACAAAGAATTATTTGTGTGGATTTTCAGACAATTCCATTGAAAAATGTGGCTAACATCATCAAAATACCGAATATCGGGGGTACCGTTATATGGGGGCTATACGATATCGTGGACCGATATACCCCATCTTCGAACTTGACCTGCCTGCAGACAAAAAAAAGATCTGTGCAAAATTTTAGCTTCCTATCTTAATTCGTTTAGACTGTAGCGTGATTACAACAGACGGACGGATAGGGCTAAATCGTCTTAGAATTTTACGCTGATCAAGAATATATATACTTTTTTGGGTCTAAAATGATTATTTCGATGAGTTACAAACGGAATGACGAACTAAATATACCCTCCATACTTTTTTTGGTGGAGGGTATAAAAAATAACTGTCGTCGTAGAATAAACAAGTAAAAAAGCTGTAAGTTCGGCCGGGCCGAACTTTTAATACCCTCCACCATTTGGTACAAAATTTGGCAATTTCCAAAAAATAAAATCCGTTAAAAATTCTGTTAATATCTTAAGAATTCCGAATGCTTATACGACGACGTGGGCCTGCATAGGCAAGTTTTGTCATAAGTTATTACAATATATAATGCGAAACTTGAAGAAAAATCTATTTATAATGTAGCTAAAATCATTAAAATACCGTATATGGGGGGTACCGTTATATGGGGGTTATACGAAGGTGTGGACCTGCACAGACAATTTTCTGGCATGGGCTGAAGTATCCATTACGACCTTCACATGCCGTATTTGAAACAATAATGTCGCTAAAATCATCAACATACCAAATATCGGGGGGTACGGTATATGGGGGCTATATGAAGACTTGGACCTATATGGCCCATTTTCTGTTTTATGCTGCAGTATCTATTACGAACTTCAAGTACCAAATTTGGAACGATTTCGCTAAATAATGTCGCTAAAATCATCAAAATACCGAATATCGGGGGCTACCGTTATATGGGGGCTATATGAGGACGTGGACCTGCATGGCTCATTTTTTGACTTAGGATTACGAATCCATTACGAACTTCAAATACCAACTTAGAAACGATTCCGGTAAACAATGTCGCTAAAATCATCAAAATACCGAATATCGGGAGGTACCGTTATATGGGGGCTATATGATTTCTTGGACCTACATGGCCCATTTACGAACTTAACCTGCCTACTGGCAAAATATACATGTTTGCAAAATTTTAGCCTTCTATCTCTATTTGTTCGAAAGATGGCGTGATTACAACAGACAGACAGACAGACAGACAGACAGACAGACAGACACACAGACAGACAGACGGACATGGCTAAATCGTCTTAGAATTTTACTCTGATCAAGAATATATATACTTTGTTGGGTCTGACATGAGTATTTCAAGGAGTTACAAACGGAATGACAAAATTAATATACCCTCCATAGTATGGTGGAGGGTATAAAAAGGTAACCTCGTACTCATATGTTTACAATTCTTTCAAAATGCTTCATTTGATGGCATCTTATTATTGAAATGTTTATTAATAAATTCATTGTATATCCAAATGGGAACCTGTTTTTATGCAGTTAAATTTAACAAGAACAAGTAAAAAAGCTGTAAGTTCGGCCGGGCCGAACTTTGAATTCCCTTCATCATTTGGAAGGAATTTGAAAATTTTCAAAGGAAATAAAATCCTTTAAAAATTCTGTTAAAATCTTAAAAATACCGAATATAGGGGTTATATGGTGGTCTATACAAAGACGTGTATCTGCATAGGCAACTCCTGTCATAGGGCATTACAAAATTCAAATACGAAACTAGAAGAAAAAAATCCGGTGAATAATGTAGCTAAAATCATCAAAATATCGAATATAGGGAGGTACCGTTATATCGGGGCTATACGAAGACCTGGACCTGTCTGTCATAGGCTGTAATATACACATTACGAACTTCAAATACCATATTTGAAACAATTCCGGTGAATAATGTAGCTAAAATACCGAATATAAGGAGGTACTGATATATATGGGGCGAAGACCTGGACCTGCATAGACAATTTTCTATCGGAGACTGTAGTTCCCATTTCTAACTCTAAATACGAAATTTGAAACAACTCCGGTGAGTAATGTCCCTAAAATCGTCAAAATATCGAATATCGGGGAGTACCCTCTTCCAGAGGGTAAATTGCTTAGAAAATCATCAAAATACCGAATATAGGGATGTACCGTTATATGGGGGATATAGGATATCGTGAACCTATATAGACAATACTATTGCAGAGGGTAAAGTACTCATAAGGAACACCTTTTGTGGATTTTCAGACAATTTCATTAAAAAAATTGGATACAGTCATCAAATTATCGAATATCGGGGATGCCTCTATATGAGGGCTATGCAATATGGTGGACCGATATAGTCCATCTTCGAACTTGACTTGCCTGCAGACAAAAGGCTGATCTGTGCAAAATATAATCTTCCTATCTTTTTTCGTTATGACTCTAACGTGATTACAACAGACGGACGGAATCGTCTGATCATAAATATATCTACTTTGTTATGTCTAAAATTATTATTTCGATCACTTACAAACGGAATGACGACCTTTATATACCCTCCGCACTATGTATGGCGGTGGGTAGAAAAATTACAGAAAATGCAGAGATGTATATTTCATGTTTCTCTGCCGTTGAGGTGAGAATACATAAGATGACATATTACTGCCATAATTGAGACCCCCTTTGTTCTTCTACGGAAAAAACTAGTCCGTGAGTTATGTCAGAAAAAATTTAAATAGGGCGGCATTGACTGTCATGTTACTCTTATATTTACCTACAAGTTTTGCCAGTAATTATGCGTTTTACCAACACTCTTCATTTATTTGACGTATTTTCAAAAAAAAAATTGACAACCTAAATGACGTAATTTTGCAAATAAGGTTTTATTTTTTTAATGTATATTCGTACTTACGACGAATAAAAAGTACATTGTTATCATTGCCATCACTGGCAAAGTAAATCACCCAGAGCGCGAGCAAGAGCGACACTTGTTTTTTTGCCGATCAAAAGAACTTGTTTTAATAATTTTGCCAATCGTAGGAAAACCCATGAACCCTAAGTACTCTCATGACTCACGTAAACAGAACATTTTTGTTTTTTGTCAATTCCACTGTAAAGCACGACAATTATTATTCAAAAGCAAACAAACTATTAACGTGGATACGCAAGCGCGCATCATTTAGCTCGTACTACAATGTTATTAACAATACTACGGGGTTTTGTTTAACGTAATCGTATGTAGATAAAATTCATTGATGTATAGTGGGGCATCAATAAATGTGAAAATGTTCTTTGTTACATTTTTTTATACCCTACAACATACATAGTATGGAGGGTATATTAAGTTCGTCATTCCGTTTGTAACTTATCGAAATAATCATTTTAGACATAACAAAATATATTTATTATTGATCAGCGTAAAGCGATTTAGTCCTGTCCGTCTGTTGTAATCACGATAGAGTCAAAACGAATAAAGATAGAAAGCTAAAATTTTGCACAGATCAGTCTTTTTTCTGCAGGCAGGTCAAGTTCGAATATGGGCTATATCGGTCCACAATATCGTATAGCCCCCATACAACGGTACCACCCGATATTCGGTATTTTGATGATTTTAACCACATTTTCTAATGGAATTGTCTAAAAATCCACACAAGGAGTTCTTTCAGAGTACTTTAGACCCACGATATCGTATAGCCCCCATACAACGGTACCCCCCGATATTCGGTATTTTGATGAATTTAGCCACATTTTCCAATGGAATTGTTTGAAAATCCACATAAGGGATTCATTCTGAGTACTTTACTCCCTGCAGAGAATTGTCTATATAGGTCTAAAATATCGTATAGCCCCCATACAAAGGTACCCCTCGATATTCGGTATTTTTATGATTTTAGCCACATTTTCCAATGGACTTGTCGGAAAATCCACACAAGGAGTT